AAAAAAAAAAAAAAATTAAATGAGGTCATAAGGGTAGGGCCCTAATCCAAAAGAGGAAGAGACACCAGGCATGCTTATGTACAAAGAAAAGGCCACATGAGAACACAGTGAGAAAGCAGCTGTAAGCAAGCTTCAGAAAGGCCATCCCCAATCTTGGACATCTAGCCTTCCAAACTGTGAGAAAATAAGCTTCTGTTGTTTAAGCCACCCAGTCTGTGGTATTTTGTTATGGTAGCCCTAGCAGACTAACACAGTAGGTTACAAGTCTATAGAAAATTTTATTCTGGTTTTTTATATTTACATACATATATAAATAAAGGTTAACATCATAAGAGTGGTTAACTCTGTGGTGCTTAAAGGTGCTTAATTGTTTTGCTTTTGCTTACCTGAATCTTCTAATTTTTCTTCTTCTAAAAATAAATATTATTAGCATTAAAAAAAAAACAACGTTTTTTTTTTTGGAGACAGAGTCTCACTCTGTCACCCAGGCTGGAGTGAAGTGGTGCAAACTCTGCCTCTCGGTTTCCAACAATTCTCCTGCCTCAGCCTCCCAAGTAGCTGGAATTACAGGCACGAGCCAACCATGCCCAGCTAATTTACCTTCCTTTTTTTTTTGAGACAGGGTCTTGCTCTATCACCCCGGCTGGACTGCAATGGTATGATCTCGGCTCACTGCAACCTCTGCCTCTTGGGCTCAAGCAATTCTCCCGCTTCAGCTTCCTGAGCAGCTGGGATTACAGGTGCCTGCCACCATGCCCGGCTAATTTTTGTATTTTTAGTAGAGATGGGGTTTCACCACGTTGGCCAGGCTGGTCTTGAACTCCTGATCTCATGATCCACCCAACTTGGCCTCCCAAAGTGCTGTGACTACAGATGTGAGCCACCGTGCCTGGTCAATTTTTACATTTTTTAGTAAGAGGGGGTTTTGCCATGTTGGCTAGGCTGGTCTCCAACTCCTAACTTCAAGTGATCCGTCTGCCTCGGCCTCCTAAAGTGCTGGGATTACAGGAATGAGCTACCACGCCCAGCCAAAAAGAAATAAGCTCTTTTTTTAAAAAAAATGTTAAGCCCTTTAGAAACCAAAGCTAGAGCAACTGAACAAATAATATTCATTTGTAAACACGTGAAATTCTTCTTACCTCACGGTACAAGACTGAAATTCAGATCAAAACTCTTTCAGTGAAGATTAAAAATGACAATTCTCAGTACAGTACTGCTGAGTTAGAACTAAAAAACGTAACAGTGGCCAGGTGTGGTGGCTCACACCTGTAATCCCAGCACTTTGGGAGGCTGAGGTGGTGGATCACCTGAGGTTAGGAGTTTGAGACTAGCCTGGCCAACATGGTGAAACCCGGTTTCTACTAAAAATACAAAAAATAGCCAGGCGTGGTGGTGGTGGGCGCCTGTGACCCCAGCTACTTGGGAAGCTGAGGCAGGAGAATCGCTTGAATCTAGGGGGCAGAGGTTGCAGTGAGTGGGGATCACGCCATTGCACTCCAGACTGGGCGACAAGAGTAAAACTTCATCTAAAAAAAAAATAACAATAAATACATGACAGCGAACATTTACTTACTGCTTTCTGTGTTATCTCTATGCTTTACAAGTGTTAACTCATTTAATTCTCACAACCCTCCAAGGAAGGTACTATTGTCATCATCCCCACTTCCTTGATGAGGATAGTGAAGCCCCATGAAGTTAGGTAACTTGCTCAAAGTCATACGATACTAAACAGTACAGCTGGCATTCCAATCCAGGTATCTAACCACTGTACCATTACTGCCTCAACAGAATCTCTCCTCCCCCAATTAACTACAGAAAAGAATAAAAAATAATAAAAATAATAAAAATAAGCAAAAATTCACCAGCAGCAATCAAGCATGGAAAGGGGCACAGCCTCAGGCTATAAATGTCAAAGAGTGGTACCAAAGCAGAGAAACAGAAATTTCCTAACAAGGCCCATCTTTGCTCCTAATCCCAGTCCCATCTCACCCCTATCCACCAGAAACAATACTGCTTGAACTGACAAAACTCTGAAAATGCCCACAAATACTTCCTAATTTGGAGGGAGGCAGAATGAGATCTTTCCCCTCTTATGAATGACTACTAGATATGCATTATACAGGTAGCCTTGAGATGAGAAATACCACAATAACTTAATAAACATTAATATAAGGCAAATATAAAGCCATGGTAAATATGACTGACTTTATTGTATTTTAGATGTCCAGAAACAGAAATGTGGTTCCAAGCTAAAAATAATTCACCAATCCAAAGGACCCCACATTAATGCAAGGAGGAAATCATCAAGTTGCTAATTTTTCTCACCTACAATTCCTGGGGTCACAATCCCAAGGACCTGGCATTGTTTGGGGAATAGCTTCTCAAGGGCAAGTGCTGTTTCCATACTAGTTCTTTTCCTTGCTGTAAAAATACAGTAGCAAAATGATTAAATATCATCCATTTAAGGTCAAATCTGACAATGAAAAAGTAAAAAAGCAAATACTGGAAATATTTAAGTCACCTGACACGAGAATGCTCTAAATAAAGGTCTAAAAGCATTGATTAAAACAAACACTTTACCTGTTTTGGTCCTGGCTTTTAAATTCTAAATCTGATCTTTTGCACCACTAGTCTGCCTTTCCTCTCTGTTCATATAATGCTTTTGCCCCAGTGATGTCAAATTTAGCAGTAACAGCTGAATTTTAGACTTGCTACTGTACCTTTCTGTTCAGCTGATATTGCAGTATAACTACTATTTGCATCAACAGTTAACTGGATTCAAATTAGACAATAAGAATCCATTATCTAAGTCTAACTTGGGGCCTATGTATGCCCATCTTGAATACCTATTCTGCCTTTTCCCTCAGCCAGCCAAAAATGCACCATTTCTCTACATAACTTTGATAAATGGGACCTCATGTTCCAATATAGTAAAAGGCCTGAATAGCCAAAGTCATACAACCTGTTTTAATAATAAAAAGTGCCTGGAGAATTAAAGCATCTCAAATTGAGAAAAACACCTTTCTAATGAATTTGTTTCAATTACACTACAAGGTTTAGAAATCAATCTGAAGCTGAAAGGGTTCCTCAAGGTTCAAAGATAGATACATTCATGCATACTACAGGTGGCAGTCCCAGAGCCTCAGAAAGTCGATTAACTCTCAGGACAAGTACAATATTGAACTCCAAACAGAAGGCACATGATGAAAAAAAACAGAAACAAAAGCTTTTCTTTTGATATTTACCTCTCTTATGGCCACGACACTCTTCCAGACTAATGAAAGTTTCTGAATCAGCCATGTAAAGAACTGTATGTGGTAAGATGCGAACATTCTGGAAAAAAAAAAATTGGAATTGGATCCCATGAATCCATGAGTGCTTCTGCATAGTCCCCTAAAGTATCACCCAGTCCACAGTGCAATGAAATTAGAACTCAGGATTAAAAAACTCACTCAAAACCGCACAAATACATGGAAACTGAACAACCTGCTCCTGAATGACTACTGGCCAAATAACAAAATGAAGGCAGAGATAAAGATGTTCTTTGAAACCAATGAGAACAAAGACACAATGTACCATAATCTCTGGGACACAGCTAAAGCAGTGTTTAGAGGGAAATTTATAGCACTAAATGCCCACAGGAGAAAGCGGGAAAGATCTAAAATCAACACCCTAACATCATAATTAAAAGAACTAAAGAAGCAAGAGCAAACAAATTCAAAAGCTAGCAGAAGGCAAGAAACAACTAAGATCAGAGCAGAACTGAAGGAGATAGAAACATGAAAAATTCTTCAAAAACTCAATGAATCCAGGAGCTGGTTTCCTGAAAAGACTAACAAAATAGACAGACCGCTAGCCAGACTAATAAAGAGAGAAGAATCAAATACACACAATAAAAAATGATAAAGGGGATATCACCACTGATCCCACAGAAATACAAACTGTCATCAGAGAATACTATAAACACCTATATGCAAGTAAACTAGAAAATCTAGAAGAAATGGATAAATTCCTGGACACATACCCTCTCCCAAGACTAAATCAGGAAGAAGTCGACTCTCTGAATAGACCAATAACAAGTTCTGAAATTAAGGCAGTAATAGCCTACCAAGCAAAAAAAGCCCAGGACCAGACGAATTCACAGCCAAATTCTACCAAAGGTACGAAGAGGAACTGATACCATTCCTTCTGAAACTATTCCAAACAATAGAAAAAGAGGGACGCCTCCCTAACTCATTTTTTGAGGCCAGCATCATCCTGATACCAAAACCTGGCAGAAACACAACAAAAAAAGAAAATTTCAGGCCAATATCCCTGATGAATATCGATGTGAAAATCCTCAGTAAAATACTGGCAAACCGAATCAAGCAGCACATCAAAAAGCTTATCCACCATGATCAAGTCAGCTTCATCCCTGGGATGCAAGGCTGGTTCAACATATGCAAATCAATACACGTAATCCATAACATAAACAGAACCGATGACAAAAACCATGATTATCTCAACAGATGCACAAAAGGCCTCTGATAAAATTCAACACCACTTCATGCTAAAAACTCTCAATAAACTAGGTATTGATGGAACGTACCTCAAAATAATAAGAGCTATTTATGACAAACCCACAGCCAATATCATACTGGATGGGCAAAAGCTGGAAGCATTCCCTTTGAAAACCCGCAGAAGACGAGGATGCCCTCTCTCACCACTCGTATTCAACACAGTATTGGAAGTTCTGGCCAGGGCAATCAAGCAAGAGAAAGAAATAAAGGGTATTCATATAGGAAGAGAGGAAGTCAAATTGTCTCTGTTTGCATATGACATGACTGTATATTTAGAAAACCCAGTCATCTCAGTCCAAAATCTCCTTAAGCTGATAAGCAACTTCAGCAAAGTCTCAGGATACAAAATCAATGTGCAAAAATCACAAGCATTCCTACACACGAATAACAGACAGCCAAATCATGAGTGAACTCACATTCACAACTGCTACAAAGAGAATAAAATACCTAGGAATACAACTTACAAGGAATGTGAAGGACCTCTTCAAGAAGAACTACAAACCACTGCTCAAGGAAGTAAGAGAAGACACAAACAAATGGAAAAACATCACATGCTCGTGGATAGAAAGAATCAATATTGTGAAAATGGCCATACTGCCCAACATAATTTAGAGATTCAATGCTATCCCCATCAAGCTACCACTGACTTTCTTCACAGAATTAGAAAAAACTACTTTAAATTTCATATGGAATCAATAAAGAGCCCGTATAGCCAGGACAATCCTAACTAAAAAGAACAAAGCTGAAGGCATCATACTACCTGACTTCAAACTATACTATAAGACTACAGTAACCAAAACAGCATGGTACTGCTACCAAAACAGATATACAGACCAATGGAACAGAATAGAGGCCTCAGAAATAACACCGCACATTTACAACCATCTGATATCTGACAAACCTGACAAAAACAAGCAACAGGAAAAGGATTAACTATTTAATAAATGGTGTTGGGAAAACTGGCTAGCCATATGCAGAAAACTAAAACTGGACCCCTTTGTTACACCTTATACAAAAATTAACTCAAGATGGATTAAAGACTTAAGTGTAAGACCTAAAACCATAAAATCCCTAGAAGAAAATCTAGGCAATACCATTCAGGACACAAGCATGGGCAAAGACTTCATGACTAAAACACCAAAAGCAATGGCAACAAAAGCCAAAATTGAGAAATGGGATCTAATTAAACTAAAGAGCTTCTACACAGCCAAAGAAACTATCATCAGAGTGAACAAGCAACCTACAGAATGGGAGAAAATTTTTGCAATCTATCTATCTGACAAAGGGCTAATATCCAGAATCTACAAGGAACTTAAACAAATTTACAAGAAAAAAACACCACCATCAAAAAGTGGGCAAGGTATATGAACACACACTTCTCAAAAGAAGACATTTATGCGGCCAACAAACATATGAAAAAAGGCTCATCATCACTGGTCATTAGGGAAATGCAAATCAAAACTAAAATGAGATACCATCTCACACCAGTTAAGGTGGCGATCATTAAAAAGTCAGGAAACAACAGATGCTGGAGAGGATGTGGAGAAATAGGAACACTTTTACACAGTTCGTGGCAGTGTCAATTAGTTCAACCACTGTGGAAGACACTGTGATGATTCCTCAAGGATCTAGAAAGAGAAATACCATTTGACCCAGCAATCCCATTACTGGGTATATACCCAAAGGATTATAAATCATTCCACTATAAAGACATGTGCATATGCATGTTTACTGCAGCACTGTTCACAACAGCAAAGACTTGAAACCAACCCAAATGCCCATCAATGATAGACTGGATGAAGAAAACGTGGCACATATGCACCATGGAATACTATGCAGCCATAAAAAAGGATGAGTTCACATCCTTTGCAGGGATATGAATGAAGCTGGAAACCATCATTCTCAGCAAACTAACACAGGAACAGAAAACCAAATGCCGCATGTTCTCATTCGTAAGTGGGAGTTGAACAATGAGAACACATGGACACAGGGAGGGGAACACCACACACCAGGGCCTGTTGGGGAGTGGGGGGTTATGGGAGGGATAGCTTTAGGAGAAATACCTAATGTAGATGACAGGTTGATGGGTGCAGCAAACCACCATGGCACGCGTATACCTATGTAACAAACCTGCACGTTCTGCACATGTATCCCAGAACTTAAATTAAAAAAAAAAAGTATCACCCCATCCAAACTGCTGGTGCCCTACCTTCTTTCAGGTCAATGTTGGCATTCTGAGTCAATCTACTTCTCATTTACTTTTCACTCATGCTCTTTCATTTTCAGTTCATTTACTAAACACCTACTATTTCTTCATTCCAGCCCTCAAGAAGTTCATTTTCTTAATAACTGAAGCTCTTAGAACAAAAACATCAAGTACCAGCAAGAGACACACTTGCTTTATATGAACAGGCATTACAGTATCAGAAAAATCTCAGTAATGGGGAATCACTCCTCTTTTCACTGCTCATTAAATCAAATACTCCAAGCCTCCATTTCCAGCCTTGACAACAAGGCATCCTTCAGGGCCCCTTAGCTTACTATTAATATTATCCAGACACACCCACTTCCCCATGTGTTCTATTGCTCTGTTCCTGTAGAACTTAAGACTGTTTCCCTCTAGAGACACTTTAAGTGCCACCTCCTCTCCAAAACCTTTTCCTAAACTCCCTCAGTACTCTGGACCTCAGATGCAACATCCCTTACCCCTAGTTAATCTTATTTGTGCCCTATCTCCCCTATGAGCTGGGTTTATTCAGACTCACTTGTTTTCAACTAAACTTTCCAATTAAAGACAAGTGGCAAAGCAGCTGAATTAAATGAAAATGATGAATATATTTTTCTAAGCTAGCTATTTTCAAATATTTTTTACTACCAGAATAAAATGAAGTACTTAGGATATAGCAAGGCCTCATTATTGGTTAAATGGAAAAAAAAAAAAAAAAAAGTTGGTCCATGAGGTACTTAGCATATAGCAAAGCCTCACTATTGGTAAAGTGGGGAAAAAAAAAAGTTGGTCCATTATAATTTGGGGGAATGCCAAGATGTTTCAGAATACATTCTATATAGATAAACTAATAAAAGAGACAGATAGCATGATGGCCTGTGGGGCCCATGGCTGCCCAAGACCTACAGATATAGTTTCCTTGCTCCACACAGCATTTTCAGAAAATGTAAACTGAATGCCAATGTTCAAAATTCCACCGAATTTTTACATAAAATGTGGATTTCCGGATTCTTTTTAAAAACTGGACATTTTGGCAACACTTAGACTACGTGCCTCTTAACTAAGGCTAAATGGAGGCAAGCCTTTCCAGTCTGCCATGGTGCTACCACTCTGTTGAGCTACCTGACCCTCTTCACCTAACTGCCTGACCTTCAAGTCATCTGAATCTGTGATGCCTGGTATAGTGAGTAAAGGAGAGAGAACTCAAAGAGATTTAGGGGCCAGGCACCGTGGCTTACGCCTGTAATCTCAGCACTTTGGGAGGCCACAGTGGGTGGATCACCTGAGGCCAGGGTGAGACCAGTCTGGCCAACAGGGTGAAACCCCATCTCTACTAAAATACAAAAATTAACAGGGTGCGGTGGCGTGCACCTGTAGTCCCAGCTACTCAGAAGGCTAAGGCAGGACAATCACTTGAACCGAGAAGGTGGAGGCTGCACTGAGCTGAGATCAGGCCACTGCACTCCAGCCTGGACAACAGGCGAGACTCTGTCTCAAAAACAAAACAAAACAAAAAACAGATTTAGGTCTTAGTGGCAACTCTGCCACAAACCAGCAGAATAACCCTCATCAAGCTTTTAGGCCTCAGGTTTCTTACTCCTGAACAAGGATTAAAAGTCTGGTCCTGAGATTTTATGAATCTCCCTCTCCTGGCACCCAATGAAAAGCAACTGCTGAATTTTCCGTCCTAATTCACACTAGAAGAAGTGACATAACAAGTCTCAACATGAAATGTTCTCAGAGCACAGTTAAGACAGCTAGCACCACATTCCACTGTTCAAAGAGGTTACAAATGGCAAGTTGTTTTATAAAGCTTTTGGCAGACTTTAAAATATTTCTTTTCTTTTTTTTTTTTTTTTTGAGACAGAGTCTCACCCAGGCTGGAGTGGCGCAATCTGGGCTCACGCAAACTCCATCTCCCCAGTTCAAGCGATTCTGGTACCTCAGCTACCTGAGTAGCTGCGATTACAGGTTTGCACCAACACGCCCAGCCAATTTTTGTACTTTAATATTTTTATTTATATATTTGATATTTTTAAGTATTTAATATTTTTAAATATTTATATTAATATTTTTAGTGGAGACAGGGGTTTCACCATGTTGGCCAGGCTGTTCTCTAACTCCTGACCTCAAGCGATTTGCCTGCCTCGGCTTTCCAAAGTGCTGGGATTATAGGCATGAGCCGCCGTGCCTGGCGGACTTTAAAATATTTCTAATAGAAAAGTTAAATCAACTTTCTTTATAGCTATAAAAGTGCCCATGTCCACTAGATAACTTGGAAAACACAAATAAACAGCACGTATGATTTGGATAGAGTTTTCATGTTTTTGTCTCACCAGCAGTTTACTATAATGGAGGAACTCCTCTAAGGGCATTACTATAACTATGTGAATTTAATAATGATATTAATAAAAGAATATTTAACAGACATCTATTGAGAACTTACGCTCCTGGTACTATAAGTAATGTGTTATATGCATTACCTTTTCATTATTTAATCCTTACAACAACTCTATAAGGGCACAGGAAAATTATTATTTTTCTTTTTGTTTTATGGAGATAGCACCTGAGGCTCAGAGAAGTTAAGTAGCTTTTTCAAAGTCACACCGCTGAGGCCGGGCGCGGTGGCTCAAGCCTGTAATCCCAGCACTTTGGGAGGCCGAGATGGGCGGATCACGAGGTCAGGAGATCGAGACCATCCTGGCTAACACGGTGAAACCCCGTCTCTACTAAAAAAATACAAAAAAACTAGCTGGGCGAGGTGGCGGGCGCCTGTAGTCCCAGCTACTTGGGAGGCTGAGGCAGGAGAATGGCGTGAACCCGGGAGGCGGAGCTTGCAGTGAGCTGAGATCCGGCCACTGCACTCCAGCCTGGGTGACAGAGCAAGACTCCATCTCAAAAAAAAACAAAACAAAAAAAAAAACAAAAAAAAAAAACAAAGTCACACCGCTGGTATATGCCAAAGCTACAATTCATACCTTAGTCTGTCTGGCTATTAACAGCCACCACAATGTATAAACTGTTAAAGCTATAGAAAAATAATGCCTGTTGTGGTAAAAATTTGAAAACGATGACCACAGAGAGAAAACTTTTTAAAAACATTAAATAGAAAAAAAAAAAGGCTATTTTGGCTTTCTTTTCTACTCTCCCTTTTGGTCTTTAATAATTCAGATGATACTAAATATATAATTTTATAATGTTTTCACTTTTAAAATCAACATTTGCTCTTGTCATTAATCCACTTACAGTTTATAATTTAATAGCCTTATTTATTAAATTAATATTCGGTTTTTAGTATCCCTTATTATAAACGATGCTCCAGAGAACACTTCTGAGGAAAAAAGCCTGCTTGCATTTTGAATTTTTCCAAATGATAAACTTCTGGAAAAATGGCAGGAGTTGGGACAAAGCACCAGAGAAGAAAAGTTTTCTACAAGCCTGCCTTTGGATACTGGCCAGCTCCCTGGGATGAGAGTTCCAGAGCCCAGACAAGGTAAGGAGAAAGACCACCCAAGGAAGGGGGAAACAGAAGAGTGGTTACATATGGGGCATTGAGGTAATATCTAAATACATTAAGAATGATGAGAACCAGTTTCCCTTTGCCCAAAAGGGAGGTACAAATATGAGCAGAGACAAAACTAGAAAGCATCCTGCACTTGATTAGAAAAGGATGCACCTGTGTGAACTCATGGGTTTCCACATACATATAGTTGTAAACGTGTGTATATGTGTATGCTGATGTATATACATACACATGCATGTATATACATACATACACTCCTTGGCTCTGTCTAATGACTGGGCTTTGGAGCAGCAAATCCCTCAATGGCAAGGAGTACACTTAAAGAGTCTAGACCTTGATTTCTAAATACCACACTCCATCAAAAGGAGCCAGGGCTTAATGACCAATTCCAGGACCAAAGCAGGTAAAATCCAAGACAAGCTTAGAACATCTTGTGCCAGAAAAAAGAAAAGTGCTCAAAGATAATGCAGTCATCTCTAAAAAGACACTGAAGCCAGCCTGAAGGAGCTCCCACTAGCCAAACTGTGGGGGGGGGGGGCGTAATTTGAGCACCAAAATACAGTAACAGATTATAGCCCACTGAATTAAATAAGACTCCGAGAGTGTACAGATACAAATAAATAAACGCACTGAAACACGATATTTACATCGTTTCAAATGATCTCTTCACAAAACACTCAATCATTACAGAACAGTGATTTTAGTGAAGACACTTGGCAAGCACCACCTTAATTGAGTAATCAAAGGTAATACCACCAATAACGAGACCAATGGAAATCACATGCCACCTAAGGATGCCGTGAAAAGAGCACAGCATCACTTCTGTGATTATTTCCTGCCAAAGACACAACTGATGGATGTTCTACAAAATAGCCTGCAATTTTCCTAGGTGTCAAGATTTGGAAAAATCAAGCAAAGCTTGTGAAACTGTTCCAGATCAAAGGAAATTAAAGAAACATGACTTACTTAGAGCAACTTACAATTGGGAACAGATCTTTTTGCCATGAAGAACCTTACTGGGACAACTGGCAAAATCTGAACCGAGTCTGAGGACAAAATGGTAGAAATGTATCAGTGATAATTTCCTGATTGTGACAGCTGCACCGTAGTTATGTCTGTAAGCCGTACTAAAGTAAACAGAGTGACAGAGCAGCAGGTTGGCACTTCACTGTCAAAGGGCTCCCTTCCACTCCCCAGAGAGATGGTACACCCTGCAGTCCCTCCAACTCCACAGTCCGAGTCTTCATCTCTCCAGGTGTTGGCTCCCCTTTTGAAGTTGGGGGCCAGAGAAGCAAAAGAGTACAGGATCGAAAGTTGAAATATTTGGCTTTAAGTTTTGGTTCTTGGCTTTCTAGGTGTGCTACACTGAGCAAGACACACCCAGCTGTCTTCCCGGTAAAAGACAACAAAAACTTGCTTCAAGGGAAGCAGGTGAAGGGAAGGTTCTGCACAGCGTTGTTGTTAATAGTGAAAATGTGCATACTTAAAAGGCTCAACATTTGATGAACGGTCAAATAAATCATGACACATCTTTACCGTGTAGTCACTAAAACTGATGTTTACAAAATCTTTTCCCGGCACAAGAAGATGTTCCTTGAATTAACAAAACTGGGATTAAAAAAAAAAAATAGTTCTCAAAAGACTGAACCACCAACCTGCAAATGACTGTGCATGACACCCCTTGCTACTTGCCTCAAGCTCCTCTGCTACTACGCGAACCAAGCAATGCCTCTCCAGGTGGCCGGCCTCGGCCAGGCCTGCGGAGATCCAGGTTACGCTCCGATGGGTCCGCAACACTCTGCGCACACACTCCCTCCATAAGCGGCACACGCTGGGGACGCAAACGCACAAAGGATTGCAAACGGACGTTCATTTTCGTCTCTCCCACAGCTCACAAACCCCCACCCACTGGAGCAGCAGGAGATCCCTGCGGGATCCAAAGTCCCCGGGGGAGGTAGGTGTCAGTCAGGGCGCTGGTTCGGAAGGAGAGCCAGAAGTGGAGAAAACCTTAAGGGGAACTTCGCCCCTCAGCGAAGTCCCCCGGGGCACCACGGCTGGGAGATACCTCGCGGGTAGCGGGTAACCTCAGGTAGGGCGAGGGAGCTGGGGAGAGTCCTGGGTCCCCACGGTCTCTCCCCACCCCGCCAGCCTGGGGCATGCCCACGGCGTGTCACAAGGCAAGCTTCCCGCCTCCGCCTCCTCTCACCAGGCCACCCGCAGCAACGCCTTGGCGGGCAGGAAGGTGAGCACACGCTCCACCACCTCCGCCAGGTTACTCAACACGAAGGTGCTCCGTGGGTCTACGGAGGAGGAGCCGCAGCAGTCGCCGCTGCTGCCCACCGGCTCCATTCCTCACTAGCCCGCCGGAACCAGTCCTACGGCGGCCCGGAGGAACCCGATTACGCCAGCACAGAGTTGCCTGGCCGGCGCGCACTGAGCAGGCGCCCGCGCCACTTCCGGCCGGACGGGGACGGTGGGCGTGGCAACGCCGGTGAATATCCTGGCCTGGAGTCCGCACACCGAGGTTGAAGCCATCCGTTCCATAATGCGCTCGGAACTGTTTTTTCATTTTTGAGATTGGGTCTAATGCTGTGGGCAGGCAGGAGTGGAGTGGCGCGGCCTCTGCTCACTGCAGCTTCTACCTCCCAGGCTCAAGCGATCCTCCCGCCTCAGCCTCCCTCATAGCTTGAACTACAAGCTCCCGCCATCACGCCCAGCTAATTTTTGTATTTTTTGTAGTGACAGGTTTCCCTATGCTGTCCAGGCTGGTCTCAAACTCCAGGGCTCAAGCGATACTCCCGCCTGGGCCTCCAAAGGTGCTGGAATTACAGGCATGAGCCACCGCGCCTGGCAACTTTCCAGGAGGCCTCCTGCAGTGAAAATCCTGTGTGCTTCTCACTGCCCTGGCACCGCCATATTTCTGAGTTTACATCGTTCTCTAAATCACAAATTCCTTGCAGAGACTAGGTAGTACTTATTGCTCTTCATAGTTCCAATGCCTGTTTAAATAGCATAAGCTCCATTTTTGAACGGACAGTGTTTGCTTTTAAAAAATTGTCCTAGTGTGTGAAAATCACTGCCTTTATTCCTTGGTAAACTTAGTTAACTCGTTGTAATATTCAGGTTTAAAGTTTCGAATGAGTAAAATGGCCTATAGCACCTGCCATTCTAAGGTAGCTGAGTGAGATTATTGCTGTGAAGCACGCCCGAAGTTGTGCACCAGTTCCCCTCCAGGAACATCAGATTCACCTGGAAACTACTAAGTTTTAGCACATTTCCCGTCCTTACCCCAGACCTCCTAAATCAGACACTGGGGGTGAGGCCCAGCAATCTACGTTTTAACAAACTTTATGGCGATTCTGATGCATGCTCAAACTGAGAACCACCAAAAAATGGAAGCACAGCAGACACAGGTTCGTCCACTCCTCCCGCCAATTCCTTCCTAAGGGAGCCCTGATTTGATTGCCAGATCTTGGGCAGAAACTTGTCTAAATCAGAAGTTCTCATTATGGCCTCAGGACCCTTTACACCCTAAAATATTGACACGACCAATAGTTTATGTGTGTTATGACTATCAATATTTACCATATTAAAAATTAAATCAGAACACCTTTTTAAAAAACAGATGTTATACATTAACGAAATATTTTTATGGAAAACAACTATTTCCCAAATCCTCCTTCCCACACTGGTGGATAGTATGACATTGTCACTGGTATAAGCCTCCTGAGTAGCTGTGACTCTTTTTTTTTTTTTTTTTGGTAGACCCAGGGTCTATGTTGCCCAGGCTGGTCTCAAACTCCTGGCCTCAAGACATCCCTCTGCCTCTGCCTCCGCCTCCTAAAGCGTTGAGATTACAGGTATGAGCCAACAAGCCCAGCCAGTTTTTTTCCTTAGTCTATTTATAGGCGCAGCTGCTTAAGGAAGCCAGATGGCCCAGATGTCACCAGAGCTTCCTGACCCCTTGTGGAATACCAGAGGAAGATAAAGAGGCACCCTCCGGTTACCTTTAGATCATTAACATAATGCTAAAATCCTCTTCCCTAAAAAGCAAGCTCACTGGCATCTCCTGAACATGGATGTATGAAGCAGCATGTTCAGGGACTATGCCTGCTTGTCTGGAACTCCAGCCTGTGTATGCCCTTCATACCTCCCCCGCCCCCTCAGCTAACTCTTTAAACTCCCCAGCCTCCTATCCCTCTGGGAGAAGGTGCCTTGACAGCATGAGCTCCCTTTCTGCATTCTTTGGCTACTGAACGACACCCCATTGTCTTTCAAAGTGGGCGTTCTTTCTTTGTGGCTGATATAAAATGGGGAGAGGACAGTTTACTAGTGGCGGCATCACTTTACATTTTGCAAATATTTAATTTCTGTCTTAATGGAAGACAGACAGATTCTCATATTTGCTTCTGAATTTGATCTGTTGCAAAATCACATCATGTAGCCTCTGGAAAACTCCATTGTACACATGAAAGAATGAGTGAAAATGGCAAATGTTTTATTATTATGAAAATAGTCTCTTGAAATGGTCTCAGGGGTCTCCAGTGTTCCCCAAATCATGCTTTGAGAACCATTGTGCAAACTAATCACGATGGTTTCATTCTTTTCACCACCATTGGTTTAGGGGTAGGCACAGGGCCCTGATGTAGCCAAGGAAAGGCGAGAGGCCGTGTACTTGATGGGATGGTGCTTTTAGAGATTTCCTCATCTCCTAAGGAGACACTAGAAAACAGGGGCATTTATCTACCTCTGAATCAAGTAAGGTGGCTGCACATAACATGCAACCAAAAGATGAAACCAACATAGAAAAATCTCAAGGAAGCAGAGCAAAGCCCAGATGTACAGTACAACTGGAGTTATCCTACCTCTGGACTTCTTGTATGTGAAATAACCTGTCAATTGTGTGTAAGGAGGCCATGGGTATGCTAAGTAGCAGCAGATTATTTTCACTGGGGGAACTAAGGATAGCCATAAGGAAAAAGTAGCACTTCAATTTACAATGAGAACGGAAGAGGAAAAAGGCTGAGGAAAAGGTGACTATTCTACAGACCATTTCCAGGTTCTTTCACTTTCTATTGTTAAATCTACCTGTCTTCCAAGCCTCCCCTCACCACTTCCCTCCTTAAATATCTTATTCCAGAAACTCAATAGAGCTTACAAACACATCAAGCAGAGTTTTCTTATGAGGGAAAAATGAGAAAGTAATCTTTTTTTTGCTTGCCATGATCAGCACAAACCAAATTTTTAAATGGTTTATTCATAAACTTGATGCAAGTTTATAAAATTTACTGTACATTGCCAAATAAATCTGCAATTAAAAATAAAATCCATAAAACAAAGCATGCTAAATGTGCAGCTATCAATCTGCTTGCCATAAGGATATTAAAGAATTCAACAATGTATTCAAGATTTAGCCTTAGGCTTAAGGAACTTTACTGCTTTAAAGAATTCTGCCATGTCACTTGTTATCTGAGCAACTGGCAATGAGAACTTTATACAAATGTAACCAAGTGAACAAGAATACCAGAAAATTTACTGCTGTCTTAACCAAAATAGAATCAAAAGAAATTAAACACACACAATAATGTAGAAATGACAAGTCTCTTAGATGTGGTTTACAAAGTTAAAAACTGAATCTCAAAGCAAATGCATAAGAAACACTTTTGAACTTTGTAACTGGTTTGTGCAGAAAAATGTGCTTCTGGATTTCTTGTTAAAAGTGCTTAATAACTAGAATTTACTTTTAAATCAAACTTGGGTGTATTAAAAAAATCTATTACCAACCAAAAAGGACTGATTCAGGTAAGGCAATAAAATGGAGAGTACCTTGATTTGAGTCAGGTTCCATCAAAAATTAACATACGTAGAGTTTCTATTAATCTTTCAATGTAAAAGCCATTGTTTTGACTATGGCAAAAGTTACTGTAAGAGTCTCCAAATTAAGTATATTTTTCTACTTAACTGCGCAGCTTTTGCTCAAGGAGTCTTTGTGCCAATCACTTTATAAGTTTATTAGTTTACAAATGATTGCAACATCCCGTTAATAAAATGGAAACGTAAGATGACTTAGTATTTTAAATAACTTTAAGCTCTATACTGTGGCTCCTGTTCATAAGAAACACTGAACCAACAAGCAGCAGATTCAGCCCAGCAAGACTCTGATGCCCCAGTGGAAATCACTACTTGCAAGCCTTAACTGATATAGTTTTACACTGCTTTGCCTAAGAAGAACAATGTAACTCAATTAAGAGTATTATCTTCAGGAAACAATTCATATCTTCACATAGTCATTAAAAAGTTTAACAATTTAATGAGTAGGTTTCCTATCCTTTTGGCAATATCATAAAATAGTTTTAGACATGAAAGAGCTATTATGATTTAGAAGGCCTTAAAATTTTCTAAACCAATATTGAACATCGATTAAACTTGTATTGGCTGTAAATGGAATATATTGCAAATCCTTGTAACCCATGGGCTCAATATAGGAAAGTTACTCTAAAGCCTCAATTTCAGTAGCCTGACGCTGACTTGGCTGCTTTAAAAAGTTCACTTTTCAAGAAAAAGAGATAAGGAGTGGCCAGTATGTGTATTTATCAGGAGAAATACAATAAAGGCCCCACTGCTCAGTCCAAGATATCTAAAATGAGCAAAATGCAAAGGCTGTAACTTCATACTGGATGTCAGATGACAGATTATCCACTAAAATATCTATTAACTAACGTCTTCGGTACTGCTGTAATAGGGGCACTCAAAGCTTGTGTCTGCATATTGGTTAAGATTTTCTTTAAAGCAACATTAGTCCAAACACACAACAGTCAACATATTTAGCCATCTTCCTTTGGAGGGGTGTACCAGCCTGAAATAGAATGAAAAAAAAAAGTTAAAATACTTAATTCTTAAATAAATTAGAAGAACTGGCATGTAATAAGGCTAGCTACAGTCTCTCTTCATAATTTTGGTGTTTAAATCTACTATAAAATTTTTTTTCTTTTTCCTTTTCTTTTTTTTTGAGACAGAGTTTTGCTCTGTCACCTAGGCTGGAGTGCAATGGCGCAAACAGCTCACTGCAACCTCCATCTCCCAGATCAAGCAATTCTCCTGCCTCAGCCTCCCAAGTAGCTGGGATTACAGGCATGCACCACTATGTCCCATTAATGTTTTTTGTTTTGTTTTGTTTTATATTGTATTTAGTAGAGACAGGGTTTCACCATGTTGGTCAGGCTGGTCTCCAACTCCTGACCTCAGGTGATCCATCCACCTCCGCCTCCCAGCGTGTTGGGATTACAGGTGTGAGCCACCGCACCCGGCCTACTGTAAAAATTAAACTTATACTTGGATTGGTAACACTGCATTTTGCTATTTCACAACAGAAAGTTATTTTCTATGAATAAATTGTACTTGAGTTTTCAACACAAGAGCTCTGTATTAATGGCATCTCTAGCTAAAGATGACTGTGGA